TTAATTCGAACATCCCGCGCCGTCGAGCATGCCTTCAGGAGCGGGCTAACTCACGCAGCAGCCCCTCGAACGTCTCCAGTTCCAAATAACCATGACAACCGATCACGTGGTGACCTTAAATGCTGCGATGAGCGGTGCGGTGCCCTCTTGCACAGTGACGGTATTGCGCCGCTGCTTTTCGGTGCGTTTTCGGCGGGAGTGCGACAGTTCCGTTTACACTCAAGCGTTGCTGGGGTTCAACGTGTTTTCTGTGGAAGCGCGACGGCTAAGTTTCTTGCGCCGCTTTTCTTCGGCGTGTTTTCGGCGGGAGTGCGACAGTTCTGTTTCTTGCCTTGTACTCGCACGTTGCTGCGGTTCGGTGTGTTTTCGGTGGGCGCGCGACTGACATTATCTCGATTCCAAGCGTCATGGCGAGCCGGGGCACGTATAGCCCACCAAAGGACCTCAAGACGAAAGTAAAGATACTGCAAGATGTTGACCAAGGCGCACTTTCCAAGACGAAAATAGCGAAGAAACACAGCATCGCGAAGAGCACTCGAAGCGTTGGACACCACTGTGTGTTACTTCTCTTGCCAGAAGAATGCGGATGCCGCGTTAAGAGCTAGTCTCCAAGCTCCAAGCGATCTTTGTTGATTCACAACTGAGGAATCACGCACAGGCACGCATCACGGATTACTTCACTTTGTGATTGGTGAAAATAAATGTCCTACAACTCGTCACTCATGTGCTAGCTCAGTGCACATGCGCCGCCCACCGCAGCGCTGCACGTAAGTACTCCATTTAATGAGCTTTCGTTAATTCGAACTTCGTTTAATTCGAACAAATTTTTGGTCCCCCTCGAGTTTGAATTAATGAGATTCGACTGTATGGGAAAGTTCGAGGAAGTTGGACTAGAGTTTAACTATTATGCGTATCTGTGACGGGCTGGCTCAGTTGGCTTTAGATTGCATGGTGATGACCAAATGATAAAGTCAAACATTCAAGTTTTAGTAAGGACAGCACTGTTTGGTTGTTTGGGTAATATAGCAAGAATAAATGTTGTTATTAGCTTTTTTAAGACTTTAGAATCGGGTTCCATTGATTGTAACTGTTTCTAAATGAAAACAACCTATTGCGTAAAAACATTTTCTCCAAACCTAGACATGCTTGTATCAAAATCTAACCACACTGTCCACGAAGTCGAACCTGTTTGAAGGTTCGTCAAACCAGTACCTGTAGAGGAAGCTCCGCCTCCAAACCACAGAGAAAAATGGCACCACTATAAAAATGCACAAATTTTCTAGCGTCACAAAATCGGACAGCGAGAAAAGTGTGCTTCAATACCCGATACATTTGCTTGGAAATAGCAAACATGACGTAGGTATAACAGTGCACAACACTGCAGAATAGGGCAAGGAACAAACAACACAGGACATAGTTTTACAGCATTATGTGTTGTTCGTTCCTCTCCTTAGTATTTCTTGTTTTGTGATATTGCATTTACATTATGTTTGACTTTTACCAACTAGCCCAGCTCACAGCTTTATTACTTTATTCCGCTTAACAGTTCTGCTCCTTCCTTCAGCGTAGGCGAAGGTTACAACAAACTATTCGCGACTCTAGCGACCTATAGGGGTGCCACCACCAAACAAACATGGCGGCTGAGTCCAGGTCGCGTCGGCTCGGCCAGGCCCCCTGAACGGGTGACGCATTCAATTTAACAAATTTTCTTTTGTTTTATGCCCAATTTTATAGGTATTTCAACTGCGATGGTTAAGGCAAGACACTGGTTCTAAAATCGACTTTTTTGTTTATTAATGGATTATAATGAAAATCAGTGTGTATATGTGTTTTGGCTTCTTCTTTTCAAATATTCAATTAGTTCTGCAATATCTCAATTACTTTTTGAGTTACAAAGAAAATAATGAAGCCTAATTAGGTCATTTCTTACGACTCATTAAGGAACTTTCTAATACGAATTTTTTTGCATAAGTGATATGGATTTGTAGCTAAAGACCTGTCATGCAAGATGATGCTATTTATATTTTTGTAAAGATAGATCATTGTATAAAACTAGTCTAGTTAGGTCAAGTACACTATTTACAAAGCCTAACGAGGTCACATTATCACTAATAATAAAATTTCGGGCCCATACTGTCATACAAAAATAGCATCACCCTGCAGTTCACTTCTTTCTGAATTCAACGGTATAAAGTTTATAGAAATCCTTGAAGAATAATCTCATGAAAACAACCGTAAGGCTAGGCATGTAGACGAAAAATGCGAAGCTGAGAAAATTGCAGTTGAAGTTTTGACACTCATTGCATAAAATTGAGTAAGGGATCCCATGCAATAATGTTCAGCAATATGAAGCATAGTTCTATCTGAACAAATTGAGATTAAAAATTCTGCAATCCGTTCACAAGAACCTTTAAAAAATAATATAAAACTGAGAAATAATGTCTGCAATGTAAAATAAAGTTATAAAAGAATGAGTAGACTCTATAAGGGACAACGGGAGGAGGCACCAAGGCTTGCACGTTCCGAAAGCAGATTTTGTTTGGCCCTGAAAAGGGCCTTTGTTCGTGTAGCACTTGAAAGGGGAGCCCCTCACAGCTGTCCAGGACTGTAGTCCCCAGCTGTTCCAGTTTGGTGTTGCCTGGAGAACCTCTGCTTTGCATTGCTGCTGCTCTGGTGGGCAGCGTTGGCCTTACGCAAACGCAGATTGTCCTTCTCCATGCTTTGAGAGCTTTTATGTCCACTACAATGAACTGTGTCCCAGCATCGCGCGTCTGGCCTCCTGTGGTGACGCCGAGAAGGTCGAATTTGCGCTGGGTCGCCGACTTTTCCCATAGCGCACGCTTGCATTCGTCCGATCGTGCGACTCGTTGCGCCTGCTCGGCCGTGGAGTAGTATGCGGTGTCGACACGAACCGCGCTCGCAAAGCTCGACAAACTGCCGCTGCTGCATGGATTCGCGATGTCTCCAGTTGATGTTTCCGGAAGATCCAAGGCATCCGGCGGTGCCGATCGCGGTGGCGCACTTGCAGCAGACAGCTTCGGCTTTTTGTTCCACGGTCGCTTCCTCTTCCTTCCGAACGCTTGCCGCGTGCTCGATTTCAACCGAGCGTCGTCCGGCATCTCGAGAACTCGAAGCGAAACAAAACAAAACACGCGCGACTTCGAAGGAAAACGAACCAACAATGTTCAACGCAAGCGCGCAAACGGGAACTAAAACGTGCGCTCGACCACGGAGGAAACAAAGCAGACAGGCCTAAGGAGACGGGCCCAGGAGCAGACGACGCACCTCTCGCCAGCGCGGGAACGGAAAGGAGGAAAGGAGAAAAAGAGCGGAGGGGCGCGTTTAGGCCAATAGCAGGGGCGCTAGACACCGCGCGTGCCCTGACGTACGGGCACCTTGCTAGCCGGCCAATGAGCGATCGCGATTGGGGCCTTCGAAACCCGCGGAATGCGGACATTCCCCGATGTTGTCGCGATAACGAATGGCATGGGGACGTGGGGAAAATAAGCGGCTTTCCAACAAGACCAAGATGGCCGCGATCCGACGAGCGATCGCGAAACGCGCGGGGCGCGAAGTTCCACTTGTTTTCATTGAACTCGCTGTGTCAGGGCTCTGCGGGAACATCGTAAATATCATTTTTTTCATGCTTAGACATTGAATTCGACAATAAACTTTGCAGGCAGGTACCTTAGACTACAATGAATCCAAATAGGTGAATTTTGAAAAACATGAAATTTCGCGTTTTTTGACCATTTTAAGACCCGCGTCTCCCCTTAAGTGTAGCCGGTGCACATAAGCTTGCAGAGCATAGTTTTGTTTTTCCGGTGTTGTTTTGTTCTTTTCATGCCAAACTTTTGTTTCGGAGATTTCGTTCAAAACCGAAACTATGGGCTCTGGAGAGACGGCAATAGATTCTAATCAGTTCTGATTAGCTAAGGAAAGCGGCGATGACTACCAGAATTGTTCCACCGAGAGTAATTTTCAGGTATCTCGCATGCCTCGATCATGCGACTGATCTGTCCATGAAATCGAGCTTCTGTGCGTATTCGCGTTTAAGAACCAATTACAGTCGTTGGCTCGGTCAACAACACAGGCTGCAGGAAAATTACGAAAATTAAGCAAGCACTTCTTGAGCCAAGGAGCATGTTAACCCGCTGGCGCCCCACTAAGCAGCTGATACTCGTATTTCAATTCAGGTTTTAATAGCAATCGAGAAGTCATTTTGACGAATATGCGGGTTATGTATTATATTACGTACTATGTCCCACTAAAGCGATAGTAGTATATTCTTCGGGTTGAAATATGAGCTTAGTTGACTAGCTATTAGGTGAACTGCTGAATAAAAGTATATTTGACAGACAGAGAGATATACTTAAACTCAGCCAAATGGTTCTAGCTGGTAGCACGGAGACTAATGCGAACAAACTGTAGTCTTCATCGGAGATTCACGCAGAACCTTTCTGGCATTGAACTTGACTTCGAATCCTGAACGGAGAAATTTAGTATTTTTTGTGGCCGGTCACCCTGAGCAATGTAGACGTCTACTGCTGCTGACTTCGACGGGAGTATAATATAAATATTGGAGGCGTGATAGATCATAATGCCGTGACAGTTAACTTTGCGAGACGCGTCCCCCACCTTTTGAAAGCAGACAATTTCCCTCATTGATCGTATGCAGCGAGCAGGTTTGTCTGGAATCAAGTAGTGGCAAAATCAGCCCAACTCTTTCGGTGTGGTCCAGAGGCCCTTTCAGCGAAAAGCAGCCAAGATGAATAGCCAACACACCGAACGGCGTGGGTGGCTCAAACTTGCAGCTAATCGAACACAACCAAACTCAAGAAAAGCAGCTATTGAACCTTCCCATTCACTTGACTGCAACATTGGTGTTCCCTCCAGTGAAACACCTAGTCTGTCATCCTCAGTCCACTGTTCTACATCTGTTCTACATTCGTTCTACATCATTCTATTGACAGTCCAATGAAGTTGGTGGGAGCGGCCGGATGGAGCTGGCAGGCCTCAAAAAGGCCTTGATCTTCTTGGACTCCCATGGCGTGACGGTGAAGCTCCTCGTCACGGACCGCCACGTGCAAGCAAAGGCATTTATGAGGAAAGAGATGCCTCACATCGTCCATGAGTTTGACGTCTGGCACGTGGGAAAAGGTGCCATTTCATTTTTTACTGCTTATATGCACCTGTACTGAAATGTGACACATATTACCTACATCTAAGCTTCACGACTTTTGCTTTTCTTTTTCCAAAGGCATTTTCGGTCTCTTTTTAACAGCAGTTAGGATGATTTCATTTTTCCCTTTTGGCAGTAACTGATCTTCCAGACTGTATGAGCAATGGTTAGTGCCTGGAAACTATCTGGGACTGCACTGCATTAGTGTCAGGGGGAATACAGGTGTTTCCAAAGAAGGGGGCCAGCATATCAAATGTCTAAACCCCCCCCCCTCCCCCTTTTTTTTCACCACCCTAAAATATACACAACTGGAATTAGAGAAGAGGGTGAGGACATCTGAACCCCCCATTGAATCCACCACTGATTAGTGTACTTCATGGCACCATCACTAGCAACTTTCCTAGAAGCATACACAAATCAAGGATGGCTTTTGTATTGGGAGAAGGTATCTGCAGAGCAAGATAAGCTTTAGATATAAAGTTTATCTAGTGATCATCATAATAAAGCACACTTTAGGTGGTTCATTCTTTCCATTTTCAGGGGTGAAGAAAGAGCTTCTTGCCACTTTAAAGACTGCAATCTATGCTGAGCTGGCACTGTGGAGGAGGTCTGTGGAGAACCACCTGTATTGGGTGGCAGCCTCAAGTGAGGGAGACCCCAGGATGATCGTCCCCAAGTGGTTGTCCATCCTGAACCATGTACGGGACATCCACGTACACAGTAATCCTCTGTACCCCGTCTGTGCTCATGGGGAGCTGCAGCCTAGGGAGTGGCTAGATGATGGTGCGTATACAACTTTTAAATATGATCCCGTCTAAAAATTCTCATGAAATCCAATTGGAATTCTAACTGGTTTTAACTGGAACCGATTGGTTTTGGTGGGTTCCAACGGGAAGCACACTGGCCAATGGGTCTCGCCAATTGGAATTATTTTTCCAGTTGGAACCTGAAGGGGTTCCCGTTGGTTCCAAATGGTTCCCGTTGGTTCCCATTGGCAGTGACCAATTGGTTGTTCAAAAACTCAATTGGTACCCATGGGAAAATTGCAATTGAAACTTAATGGGAATTTTCGACTGGAATATGACTAAGTGCACCACAGGAGACTTTGTGACACTGATTGAATGTTTTATCCCACACTATTGGATTTCCTAGACTCACCAACGTTCGAGAAGCTTGCTGCAATCATCACCACTGCGGAAGCTGGACTACCCAGCCTCGAACGTATCGTGCTTCTGGCACAACAGTTCGAACGGACTGCTCGAGATTGCGATCATTACTGCCAAGTTTCATCATGCCTTCCGCGTTCCGAGTCGACACAGGCCGTTGAGGCAGTGCAAAGGGTTCCCGTTCGGCGTGGACAAGATGGCCGCCAATTGAATTCAAATTCGAACATGCAACGTCAAAATGGAGGGCGGCCTCCTGCCATTTCCTCCTCCCCCGCAAATGTTTCCCCCTCACCTTTCAAGGTTTCCTTCTCGCCGCGCCACCAGTCGCGTGAACTTACCCACGTTTTCACAAGCCGAGTGCTGCGTGATGCTCCTCCGGGCGCGCGTGCTCTTGGGCGCGGGGCGGAATCGTGCCAGTTTTGCATTCGCCGACCCCATCCGCGCAAGGAGTGTCCAGCGTCCGGAATGACATGTTTTTCTTGTGGCAAGATAGGCCACTTTTCAAATGTTTGCCGGAGCTCGTCTTTATCGTCTGAAGTCATCGACCCCTGTCACCTGGCGTTTCCGCCGGGACGAGGCCGTGCCGCCGGTCACCGGTACGAGCGGCTTGGAGCTGGCCATAACCAGACGCCGATCCATGGAATCGTGACGTTTCCAGACGACGACAAGGAGGAGGAGGAACAACAGCCAAACAACGTCTTCACCGTCGGATCCCCTGAGGTCCTCCCTGAAGGACGTGTGGACCGTCGCCCACAGAATTTCACCGCTGATGTTCAAGCGAATGGATTTACATTACCCTTACTCATTGATACTGGCTCCGAAGAGTCAATACTTTCCGAGAGCATGTTTAACAAGATCAACTCCAAACAGCAAAACCGGCTAAGGAAATTGCCGCGCACTCTTGTGCACTACCTCCGAAGGTCGATTCCAGCCATGGGATGTTTCCAGACCAATGTCACCTTTAAAGAGCGCTCCGTCGACATTCTTTTTTACATCGTTTGCAATGGCCGATCCCTGCTTGGGACAGATGCCGTGCATGGACTGTGTCTAATTTTATTGGGCGCGCCACTCAAGTGCTTCCATGTCAATGCAGCTGACCCTCGTTCGGCCATCCCGGGACATGTAAAGTCGGCTGGAGTCCCGCAGCCCCCATGTACGGTGGAGCCCAGTCCTCCACCGCATCCTTCAAGTGCTCCCTGCAAGCACCCTCCATCATTGCCCGCTGTTCACGGCACTCGGCCATCCACATCGTCTGAGTACTACTCAAGTAGAGGAGTCTTTGGAGACCAGCCTTCAAAGGATCCGTCGACGTCGGGACCATCTTTGCAACCTTCATCGGTGAGTGATGCATCGAAATTACCTTCTGGTTTAGAAGAACTTGAGGATCTTTTTTCCTCCGGAGTTAGGGTTAGTTAAAAACCAAACTCACACAATCACTGTCCGGCACCATGTCCCGCCGATACAGGCTAAACTTTGCCGCTTACCGATCACGTTGTGTGATGCCGTCAGCGCAGAAATTCAGAAGCTCGAGCGCCAAGGCGTTATCGAGCGCGTAAACGTGTCGGAATGGGTGTCCCCCATTGTAGTAGTTAAGAAGAAAGACAATGGAATCCGTATGTGTGTCGATCTGGGGGCGCCAAACCAGGTTGTCGTTATTGATTCTTTTCCGCTTCCGCACATTGAAGAGCTTCTGAACTCCCTCAGTGGAGCTTCTCATTTTTCTAAGTTAGACCTTGCGTCTGCTTATCATCAGGTCCGTCTCGACCCCAAGAGTCGCGACTTAACAGCATTCATTACCCATGAAGGGCTTTTTCGTTTCAAACAAGTTTGTTTCGGTCTGGCGTCTGCACCAGTGGCCTTCCAACAGGTCATGTCCAAGATATTAAAACATTGCCCAGGAGTCCAGTTTTATCTGGACGATGTCATTGTCTATGGTTCCTCCCAGAAGGAACATGATTAATAATCTCAGAAGGAACATGATTAATAATCTCAGACAAGTCCTGAAATGTATTAGAGAGGCCGGCATGAAACTAAATAGAAAAGCCGTTTTCAATGTTTCTGAACTGTCATTCCTTGGTCATTGTCTGTCTGCAGAGGGTCTAGCACCCCTTCCGTCGGAGATAGACGCGGTCCTCGATTTTCCAGTTCCATCGGAACCTTCGCAGTTGAAGGCCTTCCTAGATCTAGTAGAATATTACAGTAAGTTTGTTCCCCACTGTGCTACTCTCGAAGAACCCCTCCGAAGGCTTCTGCGCAAGGGAGCATCTTTTGTCTGGTCGTCCGACGTAGAAGTCAGTTTCCAAAGTGTCAAGTCCTGCCTTCAGCAGGCACCCATTCTTGCAATGTTCGATCCAAATCTTCCAGTTGTCGTCTCCACAGACGCGTCCAATTACGGACTAGGTGCTGTTCTCCAGCAGCAGCATGGGAAGGAACTAAAGACTGTTGCTTTCGCCTCCCGCTCTCTCCGAAACAGCGGAAGTACTCAGCAGGAAAGAAAGTAGCCCTCGCAATCCTCTGGGCTTGCGAGAAATGGCACGTTCATCTTTGGGGTCGACATTTCGAAATTCAGACAGATGATCAAGCTCTCGTCACACTAATGTCCACTCAAGACACAGGTGTCCGTCCACGACGCATCAGTCGTTGGACTGCTAGACTTTTCAACTATAATTTCACAATGAAGTATCGTAAAGGCAGCAATAACGTAGTTGCCAACGCTCTATCTCGCCTTCCGGTCCCAGACACCGAAGAAGGTATGTCTTTTGAAGAGGTAGTTTCAATTGTCTGTGCATGTCTCACACAGAAGGAGTTCAAGGAAGAAACTCTAAAAGATCCTGTATTACCAGTTATCATGACATATCTTTCAAACACATGGCCCTCAGAGGACAAGTTGCCTCCTGAATTCAAGCCATATTTCGTTGTAAGAGACCAGCTCTCAGTCATCGATGCATTGTTGTTCCAAGGAGGGAAAATAGTGGTTCCGACCACTCTCTGTGATCAAGTTATTGATGTAGCACACGAAATCCATCAAGGTATCTCGCGCACCACCAGTATCATCAAGGACCTTTACTGATGGCCGCATTTAAGTCAACATGTCAGGACGAAAATTCAGAACTGTTTGGTATGTCAGTCGACAGACAAGCCTGCAAAGGCATCTCCAGCACCTCTTCAACCAGTCAAATTCCCCACCCGTCCATGGGTTAAACTGGGCATGGATATAGTAGGTCCCTTTGAACGAGCCCCGGCTCAAGAGAGGGTTTTCATTACACTGGTAGATTACCACAGTAAGTGGCCTGAAGTTGCACCAGCCCACAACGTCACGACTGCTACAGTCATAAAGTTCTGAAGTCCATCTTTGCCCGCGAAGGTCTGCCGCAGGAGATCACGACAGATAACGGCCCTCAATTCATTTCGAGTTTTTGAAGATGCATGGCATCAAACATGTGAAGTCATCCCTTTACCATCCCCAAGCTAATGGGCAGGTAGAGAGATTTCATAGAGTCCTTAAGTCTGCTATTCAGTTGGCTTTCGCCCAACATTGTCCGCTTTCCGAAGCCATTACAGAATATCTCAGTGTATACCGGAGTACGCGCCATGCCACGACTGGAGAAACGCCAGCTTTTCTTTTACACGGTTGCACCCACCGGACGCGACTGCATCTTCAAGGGCGAGAGACCCCAGAATCCGCTGTCCCTCCACATGTTGTTCAGGAAGAGCTTCCTGATAGAGTCAAGGAATATCAAACGAAGATGAAAAAGTATTCCGATGCCAGGCAAGCAGTCAAGTACCCCGTTTTTGCACCTGGGCAATCAGTTAAGGTTTTCAAACCCAACATTAGAGGGAAAATGCACAACAAATATGCTCCACCGCAACATAGACATGAACAAGTAGGGCGAGCCACATATAGATTAGATGATGGAAAAATGTGGAATGCAGACAAAATGACATGTACAACATTGAAACCACCCCAACATTAGCTGTTGTGGCTTATGGACGATGACATATTCCCCACTTCAACTAATGCGGCTCCAGCTATAAGCCTGGGCCATGTGCCACCTGAGGGTCCGGCACCTGCAACTTTGCGTGCTGCAGCCCCCAGCGTCACTCCTGTCCGTGCGGCCCCCGCTGCCGTTCCCGTTTTTGCGGCCCCTGCTGCCGTTCCTGTCCCTGCGGCCGGTCCTGTTTTTGCGGCCCAAGAGGTCGTCCACGCCACAGCGGCCCCTGTGGCCGCCCGTGCTACTACGGCACCCGGCCCTGGCCATATTGCTGTGGCGCCTGGTGCCCATAGTCATGCGACCCCTGGTGCCGTCCATGATTCTGCTGTACCAGGCGCCGTTCCCCATCCTACGGCTCCTGCAGCCCATGTAGCTGTTGTCCCTGGTGCTGCCCATGTACCGGTAGTACCAGGTGCCCTTCCTGTTCCTAACGTACCCGGCACCTGTTCCATGGTACCCTCTACCGTGCAAGATGCGGCAATTTCCGGTGGCCTCTTCGCCACCCCAGTCCCCGGTGCCGTTCCTGATTCCGGTTTCCAAGCGGCCTTCCGCGCCGCTTTACCAGTCCTTCAAACAGCAGCCAGCCACCAGTCCCGCCGGCTGCCCCGGGTGCAGTCTTCCAAGAGGCCCCCAGGGTCGCTTTCCAGGAGGGTCCTGAACCTTCCGTTCCTTCAAGAGATGCAATATTGAGCACCGCATGAAGCTCATCCCAACTGGGACTCGGGTATTGCAGCAAGCTGCCGTCAACTAGCTCCGCAACGGTCTCAGCGGAGTCCCTGCACTCCATGGGGCCAAAGGCCTCTCTCTACACTTTCCGAGCCTTCAGTGGCTCCTGATTCAGCAGAAGACCCGGAATCAAGTCCCGAGGCAACCCAAGAATCGACTCCTACATTAGGTGATGATGGTGGTGCAGACACACCACCGAGGACATATCATACTCCACCGCTATCCCCATCGGACACTCCACAACGCCCCACGCGGCTTAGACGACTTCCCGAAAAATTTTACGACTTTCTAGTGGATATGTACTCCAAGGATCCTTCTTAAAAACTTTGGGACTTAAGTTATAGTGGTTTGCAATTTCATAGTGTGGTGTATTTTTATATGATAGATGTGAACAGAGATAGTTATTTTTGCATTTTTCATATGTGTTCAAATGTAAAATTTCCATGTTATAAAGATGGAAGTTTTGGATAAACTGCCTTAGGTATATATTTTTTTCATACGTTGTGTAGTTGCCATCGAGTGAATTATCATAGTGCAGTTTTCTTTCTTCTCACTCAAACAAGTCACGTCATTCACCTGTCAGGATTTTCCAACCATTCTTCTCCCAATTACCC